TTTAAGAATAAAAACTTTGTGAACTAAGATGGATTGCACTTTTATTGTCTCTCCACACTCCTGGAGCCATTTATTTTTATGTTATCCCTACAATGGCATCTATGACAAGCAATTGGCAAATGCTGAGTGGTGCAAAGGTATTAGAAGTGGTTGGACAGATACTGTCACTAGGTCATCAGAAACACTGGGAGGGTATATATTATTAGGTCTTGGGAAAGTCATTATGTATTTTCCTATGGTTTTTCTATGCAAAAATGCATCTTGACTTTCCCAACAACCCTCTATGGCACGAAAAGCGCTGGGATAACTATCTAAAACGCTATTTCACTTTTTTTTTTTTTTAACTTTAAAAAAATCTTTTATTGGGTACATTTGAGGTTTACAAAATGTTGAGATAAATACAGCTACAAACAGATTAACATAAAATTTCTTCATTTGCGTGGTAAAAGAAGCTAAACCCTATTATACAAAACTTACCTATTTCTTAATCTATTTTTCCATTTTTTTAATCAATTAACTGGTTTTTCCTTATTCCTCTCCTCCCCTATTATCCACCCTCCTATTATCCAACACCCTGTACTATCTTTAGTATCTACAGTTGCCCTCCTTGCTATGATATCTTCCAATCTTTCAGTTTCTGTTCTTTCCTAACGTAAAAAATCAATTTTTTGTTTCAATAGATCTTTTTGGAGCAGCCCCTGGCCTAGTGGTTAAGGCAGCTGAATCCCACATAGCTGACCCTGCAGCTTGTAAAACATGCCCAGAAAGAAAAATGGAGAGAAGACTGCTGGGGCATGACCATGCCTCATGGGGGATGCTTTGATTTTCTCCCACCTATTATCACATGCACACACTACTTGGCAAAATTTTAAAAAGAAAAATAAAACACAGAGATCTTTCGTATTTGTTCATTTACTTCTGCTGTCATCCTTAACTCTTCCTTTGCTTCTAAGTTTGGTATGTGCTTCATTTGCTAGCTCCTTGAGGTGCATTGTTAGGTTATCTGAAACCTTTCTACTTCTTAAATGAAAGTGTTTATTGCTATAAACGTCGTTCTTAGCATGGTGTTTGCTGTACCCCATAAGTTTACCAGCGCTGTGTTCTCATTTTCACTTATTTTGAGAAATATTTAAATTTCCTACTTAAGCCCTTCATTGGCCCAGAAGTCCAAGACCATATTTAATCCCATATTATCTTTACAGTTTTCTAAGTCCCTCTTTCTACTTTCTATTTTGATCCACTGTAGTCAGAAAAGGTACTTGATAAAGATTTAAAAATTTTTGTTGAGGCTTATTTTGTAGCCTTACATATAGTCTATCCTGGAGAATGCTCCAGAGTGCTGATGAACATGTATCCTGCATCTGCTGAATGAAATGCTTTATAAATGCCAAATTAAGTCCATTTGGTTTAATTCAGATTCTTAATTCTCTATTTAGCTAGATTGCACAATGCATTTGTAGGAGACAGAGAGGAAAAATAAGCACTCCACATGGGGGAATGATCACTCTGCAATTCTCCATCTCTCCTCCTGGGAATGGGGTGTCTATCTCTCCCCTTTGGATCCTGTAATATATACTTTATATATTTGTGTATAGATGTAATTACCATCATTAAGTTATCTTAAAAAGTTGATTCTTGTATCATCATATAATGACTTCATTTCTACAAGAGACAGTACGGTGGTGTGTGTTCATCAGAAAGAGCACACCTTTCCCAATGGGGCATGATCACTCCATTTCCACATCCTATCACAATTTGGGGCACACAAGGTTGGAATGTTTGTCAAGCCAGTAGGGTCAAGATTTAAACCAGTCAGTCATGTGAGACCTGAGTTCTTTAACCATGATGCTATGGGTCCAGTTCTCTTTTTACAATTTTTTTTTACTTAAAAGTCTATTTTATCTGACATAACAAATCCTGCTTACTTTTGGTTTCCATTTCCATAAAACACTTTTCATTCTTTCACTTTCTGTTAATAAGTGATTACTACTTAAGATTTCTATGAAGTATACAGTTTGTCTTGTATTTTAAAATCTATTCCACAAGTATGCATCTAACCAACTCCTGTCATTTCATATTTTCTCATTTTGTACTTCACTTATTCCTTAGTGTTTATCTTTGTGATTTGAAGATTTGCTCTACAGTTAAGGATTTTCTTTCTCACTTGTGTATATTCCCAGTGAGTTTAATACTTTCATGTGCTTAGTTTGTGATGGTAGTTATCCTTTCGCTTCCAGATGTAGCACTCCCTTAAGCATTTCTTGTAAAGCTGGTCTTGTGGAGACAAATTCCATCAGTTTTTGCTTGTCTGGGAAAGATGTTATTTTTCCTTCACTTCTGAAGGACGGCTATTTCACTCTTCATAAAGACCCTCAGAGGTGTTCTTTTAATAGTAGGTTTATGGGTGCCAGCAGGTGGTATGGTGGTTAGGGTGCTGGAACTCCCATGAAACTGACCATGGTTTGAGTCCAGGACCTGCTGGCTTGCTTTCTCACTCTCCCTCCCTATCTTTCTCTGACAAAACTCATGTGGAAAAATAATTTAAAAATAATAATAATCATTATTAATAATTCTTTTTTAAAAAGTAAGCTTATGATATTGAAATTGCAGTATATTCATCAAATATATAGCATGATCTAAAGCATTATTAACATCTAAATGAACTAGTTAGATAAAATATGGTACATGTCAAGAAGGAAACTGAATTTGGAAGAATATAAATTTAAAAAAGATTGAATGGCTAACCCGAGGTTAAAGTCCAAGGGAATGATGCAAATTATTTTCTTTAAACATGAATTATATGAAATTCACTTCAAGATTTTACTAAACAAGACAGAAAGTCATCTTTTATATCAGTTATTTCTTATTAATTACATAAGTGCTTGATTCCTAATTTCACAACTATTGACTTTGTTTAGCATGGATGTTGTAACTCTGAATAACTATATTTGAAGAAACCACAAAAAATTTTTTTTAACTTTTTTGAATTGCATAATTTCTTATTTACATTTAATTGCTATACACCTAAACCATAAAACTTTCTACCCTCTCATTTGGGACTCCAAATCTTTTAGAGGAATGGGGAAGTTAAAGCATGAAATCCATGTAAATAAATAAACCAAATTAAGAAGTCTAGCAAAAGTATTACATGATAGAAAACTTGAATTTTTCTTTAGTGAATCATGATCAAAAATATAAAGTTGAAAGTATTTAAGATCCACTGGTAGGAAAGTGGACATCATTTAGTGTATATGACATCCTCTTATGTATGAAACTTTTATAATCTTTTTTTTTTTTTTTTGGAGAGGTTTTTTTCACTGTAGGGCGCGTGCGCTCGCCAGACAGAGAGAGAGAGACATAGAGACAGAAAGCGAGAAATCATTCCCCAGAGGGGATGGCCACACCGCAATCCCTTCTCCTCCATTTTCCTCTCAAGATCTTGGGCACGCACACACACATACCTGGCGTGAGTTTAAGCCACCGGGTCTGGGACTCGAACTGCGGTCGACCACATGGGAGTCCAGCGACATAGCCATTACGCTAACTGCTGGTCCCCCTGAAAGTTTTATAATCTTATGTGTAGATCTTTTGTAAGAATCCATTTATCAATAGTAGCAGAAATAACAGCAATCATAAAAGTGTGCACTCACCATGCGCTAAATGAATTATCTTATTCTCTCATCACAAACTCATAGTAATTATTACCATACCAATTTTATAAATGAGAATATTAAGACAAGTGAGGATATGTAATTTACTCAAGTAAACCTAATTAGAAGCAGACAGAGCTGGGATTCAAAAACAGCTTTGCTTTCTGAACTTGGACTTTTAAACCTTTAAGCTATACTAGCCAATCAAATCACAGAAGAAAATAACCAGATTTACGAGTAGTTTGAGTTTGATCTAGTAATTTTAATTAAATAATATAAAACAGAAGAAAATCACTGCAGGTCTCTCAAGATCAATGTTTTGCAATTCAACTTGTTGACACAGAATATGCACTACTAATTTACTGTTCCATTAATGAAGGAACAAAGCCCAGTGATGCTAAGAACTTTCTCAGGCTGGGCCCATATTACAGTAGTTAAGGAAGCCGGATCCCACCAAGCTGTATAAGACTTTTTTTTTTGGGAGTCAGCAGTTTGTAAAACACATGAGGTACATGTGTGCACATGCTAAAATCCTGACAGTGTGGAAGAATGGAGGAAAAAGAAGTGTGGCAAGACCATTGGGGAGAGTGCTTTCTCTCTCTGGCAAGCATACACACTTATGGCAATTAAAAAAAGACCTTTTCAAATCATGTATTTTGTTAAATCTGGTCTCTCTTCACATTCTAATGCAGTGTCCTTTCCATTGTAATAAATGCAATAATCAGTTGGTCATATAAATTTTTATATTTCCAAAGGTATAGACTTGAACACTAGAACTCTGTTATATAGTGAATATAGAAATCTTTTAGTTGCTTATAGTGATATTTTTAAAATATTCTAACCAAGATGATTTTTCAACCAAATTTATCCTACATTGTGGTAATACAGTTTTTAAAAAAATTTTTTTTAAAGTTTACTAATTTCTTACATGAAAAAGAGACATACAAAAAGATAAAAAAAAACTCCCAATAGGGTCTTGGGGCAATCCACCTCTAGCCTTAGCCAGCCCTGGATCATGGATACGTACATGCTTAGGATATTGAAACATTCTCAGTGTGAATCCGGAAACTTTCCATATGGCTCAGCCTTGCAGAGCGCTGCATTTTATTTCTGTGCCACCATCCATATCATCCCTTTTCTAAAACTTTATTTATTTCTTACATCAGTAAACCATCGGAGATTGAAGGAAGAAGATCATTTTAGAATTTTATTTGAAAATTATTTTTTAAAGTCTAGGCTTGATAAGTCAGATAATTAGTATAATCACTAGATAATTAAGCTAATCAAGTTACTTAATTATATTACAGAATTAGAAAATACTCTTTAAAAATGACAGAAGAGCAATTTTACCTTACTAAATTTTGCTGCATATGTTCAACCTTCATTAAAATTTGGACCCCTGTCTGAGACCGAATATAGGCTTTCAACCTGAAACAAAAGAGTCACATTGAAAGGTTATATTAATTTTTAGTATATTACAGAATGGTTATATGAAGAGTAGGTATTTATAAACAGCTAACAATACTTAAAATTCACGTATCCAAGCAAAAGAAAAGTGGGAAAAGATGTTTTCTAACCAAGGATCTGTAAAAAATATATATTTTTCTTCTCTGCTCAGTTAAACATCTTAAACTTCAAATACATTTGTTTCAGTAAATTTACCTCCCTATTTTATATATTTACCTTTAAAAAATGTATTCATTTAGTGACAGATATTTTGTCATATTGTCAAGTATGAGACGGTCTTCAAAAGTTTATGGAAAATGCACAATATGAAAAACTATGCCTAGGCTTCAAAAATTTTTGCATGCACTAAAACTAAAATACTTAATTGTATTTTCCAAGAAAAAGGGTACTTTCGGAAGGACCCTTCTATATGGCTAATAACAACAATTAAATTTTAAGAAGGGAAACAACTATCTTAGCTATCCCAAAGACATTGCTTGATGAGACATCAATTCTGGTTTAGTCTGGGCACTATCTTTTATCAAAAGCAGAAGAATGTGGGACCAGCAGATGGTGTAATAGCTATGTTGCTGGACTCCAACATGGCTGACCGTAGTTCGAGTCACATACCTGGTGGCTTGAAACTCACACTGGATATGTGTGTGTGTGCCCAAAATTCTGAGAGGAGAATGGAGAAGGGATTGCGGCATGGCCATCCCCCTGGAGGGTGATTTCTCACTTTCTGCTTCTGTCTCCTAGGTGAGAGCTCAAGCCCTATAGCAAAAAAATCTCTCTTTCTCTTAAAAAAAAAAAAAAAAAGGCAGAAGAATGAGATTTAACTAGAACTAGGTAAGACATTTTATAATCCATCCAGTCTAAATTTTAAACACCAAGCTACTGTGGAACCAAACCAAGCATTCATATCCCAAGTAAGGATCATCCAGTGAAAATAAAAGTCAACAAGGTTCCTATCCAGAGCACTAATAGCACTCTTAAAAAATTTTCTTTTTTTATATTGACTAATATGCATCGTATTCCTTCTGGAAAAATTAATGTAATATACTGTAAAGTTATATATGATTCAATGTAATATAAAGAAGATTATGATAATAATAAATTAAAAAGAAAAAGAAAACAGTCATCTGCAGGTCAAAAATGGGTTTTGCCAGAAATCAACCTCATCAGCACCTTTATCTTGGAATTCTAGCCTTCAGAACTATGAGAAAGAAATTTCTGTTGGTTAAAAAAAAAGAAATCCTTTTTTGAACACTGTTACTATATGTCAGGTTCAGTACTAGGAATTTATCACATATGCTTTTTCTAATAAGCTTCATAACAACCCTACCTAGTAGGTATTATCATTCTCATTTCACTGTTGAGAAAAATGAAGGTCCGGAAGTTAAGCAACTCACTCCTGATCACATAGTCAAGAAAGGACAGAGTCAGAGAGTCTAACCAGATATCCATGACTGAATCTTTCCACCCATTATACTATGTTAACCATTTACAGCCATGTTGTATTTCTGGGGAGGAGGCAGAGTGTACTTTATGAAGACTTAGCTTAAACAAGATTTTCTGTCTTCAAGAACTACTTAGAAACTGAATTTTCAGACTTTTTTTGTTCAATTTGAAGGCAAGTTGAGTTTAAGGGTTAAGAGTACAAACTCTGCAGATTGCCTGGATTTGAATCCCAGCCTCCCTGTTTATTACCCATATAGAGTGACTTAGTCATCGAAAGGCTTGGTTTTCCGATCTGTAAAATAAATATAATAATAGTAACCTACCTTATAGAATATTGTTACTGTGAGAATTAAATAAAAAAATATTTATTATACTCTGCTTCCAAGATGTCTGGAACACAGTAAATGGTGAGTTTTAGCTACTGTTGTTACTTATACTGACTGACTGTTATGGTGTGAATCAGTGTGTCCTCCAGAGTTTCATGTTTTGAATCTCATGTTGGGAGGGTAAAGCTTAGTTGGCAGTGATTGGTTCATGGTTACTGCATCATGGAAGCAATACTCTTGTGAGGTCTTGTGAAACCCAGTGAATTTTAAATCTCATGAGATGAGGTTAGTTCTTGTGCACTGCCTGCTATGAAAGAAAGAGCACGCTACTCGTTCTCTCTGCATGTATTTTCTACCCTTTTTGTTTCTGTCAGCTTAGTCCTGTGGGCTTCCAGCTACCAGAATCCCGAGTCTGTAAATAAATCTCTACCTTTTTTATGAAGTCACCTAGGCCGAGGTATTTCTGTTAGCAAAATCAAAACAACTACAACACTAACCATCAGTAAACATGAAGAAAATAGGGCAGAAAGTAAATTTCACTGACATATCACATTCTAACAGTCATGGCTTTACATAATGATTATACACCTAACAAGTATTCCAACAATTTAAATTATTTCAGAAAGTTATAAGATTTTAAAACATACCTTTGACGAATTACAGGATCAGACTTTTCAGGATCAATATAAGGTTTCAGAATTTCATTAATAGTTTTATCATCTGGTACTCTATCCAAAAAAGAAAAAGAAAAAAACCAGCTATATCATTATTCCTAATTTTCTACTAAAAGTGTTAACTTAGAACTACAAAACATGGTAGCTTTTTTTGTTCAAATAGCTGAACAAAAGACCTTTAATTTCACTGTTGGCGAAATATCCCTTTAAGCAAAAATTACTTAGGAAAAAAAGCTCAAAACAACTTCTTGAACATACTTAACAAAGTCTTAAGAAAACAACATTTTGAGAAGCTCCTTATGAATCAAAACTGAAATATGAAGCTTCTTTTAACCACACCTGTGCTCAAACATGAAAGAATACATCATGAAATACATATGAAACTGGCAGAAATAAAAAAATCTAAAAAATGTTTCAGATCTCAATTTCAATGCATGTTTCAGTTTATTCATTCTAAATCACAGGATCAGATAGAAAAATTGAAACTAATTCTCCTGGAAACAAAGCTTTTTAAGTTTTCCAACTTTCAGATACATGTGTGCATACACACACGCACTCACACACACACGTTTTAAACTTTTAAACAAAATTAAGTCACTTTTGAAATAGAAACTTTCCTCAACCATTTATGCATATTTATATATACTACTGGCTATACACCCCTACCTGTAAAGTCACCTCTTTCTCTTTATTATAGTATACAACTTCAAATAACAAATTTCTTCACTAAAATCTATGTGGTAATTACAAAGATAGGGCATGTAAGCACAATGTGGACATATGGTAAATATACTAATTAAGTAACAGCTTTAAAATTTTTCTAACCCAAGGAATCAAACAGCACACAACCATTAAAATTTTTAAATGACATCAGAAAATGTTCATAATATGGAAAAAGATACTTTATGCAAATTATTACCAATTTTGAGTATGCATATATACATGTTTAAAATATATGATTCCTGAGGGATACACTATAATGCTAATAGTAGTAATCTCTGCTAAGTAGAATTTGAGTTATTTCTCATTTCCCATAAAACCATCCAGCTTAAGAAACAAAAATTTTTTTTTTTTGGGGGGGGGTCTACAGGGCATGTGTACTTGCCAGAAAAAAAAACAGAGAGACAGAGAGACAAAAAGCGAGAAATCACTCCCTGGGGGTATGGCCACACCGCAATCCCTTCTCCTCTCGGGATCTTGGGCACACATGCACACACACCTGGCATAAGTTTAAGTCACTGGGTCCAGGACTTGAACCGCGGTTGACTACATGGGAGTCCAGCAACATAGCCACTATGCCAACTGCTAGTCCCAAGAAACAGAAAATTTTAGCCCTCTTAATTTTCCTTCACCTATCACCCCTTAACACCCCCTTCTCTTGATGAAGTAACCACCATCCATCATGACTTCTCGCTTAGTCATATTAGTTTTTCTGGTTTTTTCCTCCATATTTAAAAACAGAATCATATTCTTTGTATTCTCCCTTACCTTGCTTTCTCACTCAACCTTATTTCTGAGATTCATCTATGCTGACGTGGACAGCTATAGATCATTCATTTTCAGTGGTTTAGCACTGCATTGTATGAATAGATCACAAACTCACCCATTCCACTACTGACAAACATTTGGTTAACTATTTTAAATATGAAACCTTAAAATAAAAACAAATCAGTTCTTAATAGACAATGGTGATAACATACCTTTTTTCTATATACTCAGCTTGACTTTGAGGAAACTGGAGCTTCACATGCCAACAAAACTGCTGTTTTCTAAGAGGAAAAAAATGCGAAAATCAAGGTAGATAATAAAAATTTAGATATAAGTTAAACTTTCATTTTAAGATAATTCTAAAATTATTGAGTTTAACATGTATTTTCTATTAAGAGCTATTTTCTCTTTTCTAGGACTTTAGAAGCTATGCTTTTGAAATAACATACTTGCAAGGATTGTTAAAAAAAAACATATATAAACTGAAGCAGTTTCTAAATTCTAAGGACTTCATATTCCTGAATCACGCAATTTTTCATAGTTCAGGGGCTTCTGAGATCAGGGTACTACTACTTGAAATTTACAAATAAACTTCCTCATGACTAAATACAATGAGCTGATGTCTTTGCCTGACTAGTCTGGAAATTAGGTGAATGAAGTATTGTCCGGCTGAGTCCAGCTGGCTGCAGATACACTTCTGAGACATGAGTACGTGCATTCAGTAGCAAAAACAGTAAGACAACAAGCTGGTTGCTAAGCAGGATGCACTCTGAGCTGGAATCCCTTTGATTTCAGGTCTAAACTTTGGTTTGATATAAAATCAACAGTAATAACTTAGTAAAGCCCGACTTTGAAAAAAATGACTATATGTCCTATTTAACATATCTAAATTTAGTAACATTAGACACCATTCCTTTTTATAAAAAAAGATACTCAAAATACTGAACCTACTACAGAAATTTAAATGTCTCATTATGTGATGGTTTTTCAAAATGTGTATTAAATGTCTCATTATGTGATGGTTTTTCAAGATGTTTAGAAGACTATTCTTTTCTTAGTGGTTTTTTGTTGTTGTTATTTGTTTGTTTGTTTTTGGTGCATGCACGAGCTGGAGAGACAGAGAAAAAAAGCGAGAAATCACCCTCCAGAGAGGATGGCCATACCGCAATCCCTTTTCCTCCATTCTCCTCTCAGGATTTTGGGCACGCATGCAAAAGCGCCCAGCGTGAGTTTTAAGTCGCCAGGTCCAGGACTTGAACTATGGTCGACTATATGGGGGTCCAGCAATGTAACCATTATGCTATCTGCTGGTCCCTACTTAGAAGATAATTCTAAAGATCACTGCCAAGTGCTGGCACCATCTCCGCCAAAGAATAACCAGTCTCTCCTTGAAATCTACTCCACAGCAGTATAACTCGCAAATCTAAAATAATTCTCTTTTCTTTTTTTAAGTTGCCACATGGCCCACATATTCACCAGAAAGAGACAGAGAGAGCGAGAAGAAGGAAAGGAGAGAGAGAAAGCACCACCCCCCCATCCCCAATGTAGCATGGTCATGCTGCATTCCTTCTTTTTTCTAATTCTGCCAGGATTTGGGATAAGCATGTATACACACCTGGTGTGTTTTGCAAGCCACTGGGGCTGGGATTCAAATGCTGGTTGACCTTGTGGGATCCACTAAGTTCTAGTCATTAAGCCATGGGGTTGGCCTGACTTAAAAATAATTTTCTTCTAATATAACCTAGTAGAGTATCCTCCACTAAACATTTACATGATGTTTACATGTACAGCAGTCCCCCTTTTCTTCAGGGCACATCTTCTAAGAACCTAAATGTGAGAAACCAGATAGTACCAAACCCAAACTATACTATGCTTTTTCCTATATACATAACTACGATAAAGCTTTATAAATTAGGCACAACAAGAGATTAACAATAAAACAGGCTGGTTACATAGCCTAGTGGATAAGGGAGCTGGATTCCACGTGGCCAACCATGGTTCAAATTCTGGCCCTGGCACCTTGAAAAACAGGTTGGGCACATGTGCACGCTTGTCCAAAGTCACGATAGGCCAGAGAAATGGAGAAGGGATTGTGACTTGACTACATCTCACTGGGACAGATGCTTCCCATCCTCTCTCTCTCAGCAGATGTACGTACCCTCTGGCAATTAAAAAAAAAACAAACTAGAAACAATAATAAAATAGTACCCTTAAAACAATATACTGTAATAAAAATGTGAATATGGTATCACTCCCAAAATATCTTATTGTACCATACAGCAAGTAACTGAAACCATTAAAAGCAAAACTGTTAATAAGGGGAAACTACTGTATTAATTAATCTTTTTAACTAGGAGGTAAATGTTATTATTTTACACAGGAAAAAACTTAAAAGAAAGTTACTTTTCAAAGCATATTATTCAGCTGGAAAATGGCCGAGTTGTGTTTGAACTCAGGCAGTTTGTCTTTTCTTTTTTTTAAAATCTTTTAGGTTTTTTGCCATATGGCACATACACTTGCCAGAGAGAGAGAGTGAGGGGGAAAGTGAAAAATCATTTCCCCAGAGGGGATGCCACTTCTTCTCCTCCATTCTCCTCCTGGGATTTTAGGTATTCATAGTCATAATCGTCAAGTCACCAGGCCTGGGACTTAAACTGTGCCAGCCATGTGGGAGTCCAGCACCTTAAACACCATGCCACCTGCTGGACCCAAACTCAGGCAGTTTTATAACTTAAAGAGTAGGCAATCTGATTTATTATACTATTATAAACCTTCCAGATTAAGAATCCAGTAATCAGCCATGTATTTCCCTGTACTTCTAATGTAAACATATCTCAAATGTTTTTATTTTGAATATTTGCCTCCATATTTTAAAACCACTTTTAAGAGGTAGTATCATGGACATTGATTATCTCCTTGGCAACTATTCCCACCTCTCCCCACCATTCTTCCTAACCCATAACCATACTTGGATGAATGGGCCTCATCTCTACCCTCTGTGTATGTCTACTGGCTTCAGAAAATCAGTATTTATATATTCCTGGACATAATGTCTTGGGATTGGGCAGATGACCTAAGCAGTCTAATCATGGTAAATTCCAGGGTTCCTGTTCAATAATGCTACGAGACAAACTTTCTTTCTGGAGATTTGTTGTAACCCAAACTGAGCAGCAGCATCTTATGGCCATAAGGATTCACCCAACACCATAGAAAATAAAATGAAGAATAAATAATTAAGTAGGTCCTTGGTGGCATAATCAAATTGTTATAAGTGCATTCTTATAAAACAAAACAAAACAAAACAAACAAACAAAAAACAACAAAAAACACTTATCTATTTGTTGTGATTTTCAAGCCATCAGGTCCAGGAATCGAACTGCCGTTGGCCATGTGGGACCCATCGCCTTAATCACCATGCCACCTGCTGGCCCCAATCCATCCTACTTCTGGACATTCAGTTATGAGACCCAAACTGCCCCTTTTACCCCCAGAGTTCACACCAGTTTGAACTGGGTATTCTATTTCACACAACATGAAAACGTCCTCATACAAGGGATTAAAGTTTTACTCCTCCTAAGTTTTAGCTTTTGTTTATAAGCAATAAAGGAAGAAAGACTAAAAGTGTCAACTCTTAGGACATCTGGAAGCAGCAAATAGCTGATGGAATTTCAGGAACAAAAGCATTTTTCCCACTATCAGTTATAAAATCTTATTTCACTTCAAAGTTAATAAAAAAAAATCCACCAAATCCTGAAAACTTCTAAGGAAAAACAAATGTACAAAATATCTACACAATCCTTCATTCGCAGGCACTTAACTTTTAAAAATGTATTTCAAAGTGAAAATTTAAATTCTCTCAAAAATAAATGTGATGATTCCTCAAAAAAATAAACTATCTTATTAGGATTAGTATAATAAGTGTTTTTGGAAGCATGAATACAAAGGATCTGTTTAGTTACTCAGTATGGATTAAAATAACTACAATTTGAGAGAATAAAAACCATAACATTATGTGTCTCACATCATCATAAAAATACTTTTAAAAGGTCTAGTTACAGATTTTGCCTTTTAAAAAATTAGTATACCACAACTACATGATAATAGGAAACAGGTTAATTATATGGTATTGGCTTTAGTAGACAGTATATAAAGAAAATGTATGTAGCAGGTAAAGACTGAGATTAAAAAGAACATTTTACTTCAAGTAACTGACAAATACTTCGGCCGTTCTCAACTGGGGGTGGGGTGGAGAATCTGGAAATGGCTGAGCAGTTTCAACTATTCCAAGACTGGGGAGCACTTGAGGCATATAGCAGGTAGGGGCAAGGAATGCTAGCCTTCCTATAAGGCATAAGAAAGTCCTTCACAAAAGAAACTGTCCCATTCACAGTGCCAATAAATCTCCTTCCTAGAAACACTAGAATGTAGAAGGGAGAGCAGACATATGCATACCAAAAGTGAATACCAGCAATAAATGCTAGCATCTGTTTCATATTAACTGTGGAGAAAATATGTACAATAGAAACTCAGGCAAAAGAGACATAAAGGAGAAGATGAGGTATCCTGTGTACTTTCACAGATGGCTAACAAATATGGAAGAGGAAGATACTATGGGATTTAGAATGGTGAGCCTGGGAAGATTTAGTTGAATATATTAGGAAATCAGGTGGAGACAGACTATAAAGATCTGTATTTGGATATGAATCAACTCACAGAACAGGAGGATTTTCTTCTCTAAGTATGACTCTACCTAAACTCCTTGACTAAACGCCCTGACATGGCACAGTGGACCTTTCTTCAGCCTCATCTTACATCACTTACCAACTCCCACCCTAGCTTCTAGACACACCTAACTACTTCTGTAGTCCTGAACTTGATACTCTACACTTTTGTATCTGAAACTCCTACTACCAGACCAACCTTTCCCTCTTTCTGGATAAACAGCTAGGCACATGGGCCCAGCCTCATACCACAATCAGTAGCAAACCAAACTACGGTCCTAGAACCCACATGGTCAACTGTGGTTCAGATTCCCAAGTTGGCTTGCAGATATGCTACGTGCATGTGTGCCTAAGGTCCTGTCAAGATGCAGGACTAACGGAAGGAAATCATTATCCTGTGATGAGACCCACCAAGGGTGCCACTCTCCCTCTTTCTAATGTGCATGCTATCAATGAACAAAATAAACAAACTTTTTTTTTTTTGAGAGGTTTTCGCTATAGGGCGCGTGTGCTCACCAGACGGAGAGAGACATAGAGACAGAAAGCGAGAAATCACCCCC